TTCCCTTTCTATGTCCCTGATTCTATTATAATCACCAGTTCATACTGTTCATCAGATTATTTATTCACTTGTTGATAGATGTGTATTTGTTGTTCATAATTTGTATCTTTACCTTTTTCTTCTTCTTCCTCTTCTTAAAGGATACCTTTCAGCATTTCATATAATACTGGTTTGGTGGTGATGAACTCCTTTAGCTTTTTCTTACCTGTGAAGCTCTTTATCTGACCTTCACTTCTGAATGATAGCTTTGCTGGATAAAGTAATCTTGGTTGTAGGTTCTTGGTATTCATCACTTTGAATATTTCTTGCCACTCCCTTCTGGCCTGCATAGTTTCTATTGAGAAATCAGCTGACAGTCATATGGGTACTCCCTTGTAGGTAATTGACTTTCTTTCTCTTGCTGCTTTTAGGATACTCTCTTTGTCTTTTGCTCTTGGCATTTTAATTATGATGTGTCTTGGTGTGGTCCTCTTTGGATTCCTTTTGTTTGGGGTTCTATGCGCTTCCTGGACTTGGAAGTCTATTTCTTTCACCAGGTAGGGGAAGTTTTCTGTCATTATTTCTTCAAATAGGTTTTCAATATCTTGCTCTCTCTCTTCTTCTGGCACCCCTATAATTCGGATGTTGGTACGCTTGAAGCTGTCCCAGAGGCTCCTTACACTATCTTCGTATTTTTGGATTCTTTTTTCATTTTGCTTTTCCGGTTGGGTATTTTTTGCTTCTTCGTATTTCAAATCTTTGACTTGATTCTTGCGATCCTCTGGTCTGCTGTTGGGTGTCTGTATAATATTCTTTATTTCAGTCAGTGTATGCTTAATTTCTAGTTGGTCCTTTATCACAACATCGAGGGTCTCACTAGATTTCTTGAGGATCTCACTACATTTATCAGCAGTTTCTAGAAAATTCTTGAAAAGCTAGAAAGTGTGGTTTTGAACTCTATATCCAGTAGTTTGCTTTCCTCCATTTCTGTCATTTGTGTCCTGTTTCTTTGTCTCGGCATTTTTTATGCTTCGCTGTGTCGATAGAGTGGCTTTCTGTGCTAATTGTCCCAATTACCTGAGGTAGACACTCTTGGTGCACCCCCTTGTGGGCTTTGTGCACAGTCTTGTTGTAGTTAAGCCTTGATTGTTGTAGATAAAACTGGGAGGATTTGACCTCCAGGCCAATTGGCTCTTGGAGGCACTCGCGGCGATTGCCAGGACCTCTGAAGGCAGGACTGAGAGCAGCCATACTGCTCGCTCGCTCGGCCCACCCTGTTGATCCCCTGGGACCCCGCCCCGCCCAAGCCATGCACGGAGGCTTTTGCATATGAAAGGCCGGCCCTTTGTAATCTGAAAATAACTTAACAAACTGCAGCTGCCCCAAGGCCCCAGGGCAACTTGCATTGCTTTACAGCTGGCTTCTGCTGGGTAGCCTCAGGCAAAGGCTAGATTAGCACCTCCTTAGATCCAAGAGCCAGTGTACCCAGTGGTCAGAGTGGGACCATCCAATTACAACTCCTCAGATCTATAAGGGATACACTCAGGGGGCAGACTCAGTGAGCACCAAAGCCCCACTGAAGCAAGTCTTGCCCCGTAAGGGTGTCTTCAGCACAGAAGTTCTCCCACCATAGACACAGCTGATTCTCACAGCCAATACTGAGACTTCTTATGAATGTGGCTTCTTAGTGCAGTGAGACCACAATGTCTGACCAAAAAATTGGTCATCAATGCATCCTTTGGACTGATGTGTGACCAAAAAGGAGAACTGTGGGTGAAAAAAAGGGGGTTCTATGGGAAGTAACCTCACAGGGTGATCTGAGCATTAATTCCTAACTAGGCAGGTTATGATGGATAGTTACATCCCAGGCCAACCTGTCCATTGTTCTTGTGCATCTAGGGTAACACACTTTTGAAATACCAGAAGTAATACACGTCAAAGAGGCTATTAAAGAGAGCACATGCCCTTGTTAACTATCCTATAATCCCAAACCCTGCCTTCATTTCTCCAATCTTCCTTAATTTCAAGTGCATAAAAGAAGCTACAAAACTGTTACTTTCTGGAGCATTTGAGATCTTGCTCCCCAGCATATGTCATCAGTTTGGCTCAAATAAACTCATAAAGATTCTCTAAAATATTAATTTTTCTATGGTTTATAAATAAGAAAACTAAGGCAGAGAAATTGATTTTAATGATAAATTAGGCGTTATGATCTTGAATCATTTCAAGAGGCAGGTATTCAATAGGAACAATAGATGTTAGCAGAGAACAAAAATAGCTCTCGTACTAGATAGTAATTAATTGAAAATATCACCTTTCTTGCTGAGTAATCACCTCAATTTTATTTTTTAAAAGAATTACATGGCATCCTTGATACTATTGGGCATGCCTAAGATGTGATAGAACTTACTTTAGAGTCACCATTCTAAGTACATGGTAGCCACATGAAGTTGTGTATCATTCAAACCATTGGATTGGTAGATTGAAGAGGTGTAATAAATTGAAATTCAAAGCTTCTCATTGGATGGGAATAAATCCAGGTTTACAAACCACATCTTGCCAATGCTTATTTTAATGAAACAGTAGCAGTTTGTTAAGATGGGCATGAACAATGTGAAGATGGGTAGAAGCCATAATCACTAAGGTGAAAACTACTATTGGGGCAGACATTTACAGAGCCAAGGAAAGCGAACACTATCTCTAAAACATTGGATCAAAAAGGCAACGTGAGACAAGGCTGGTCAGGCACAGTCATAAAGCCTACAAAGTAAAGAGATGTTCTCTGATAGAGTGGTCCAGAACTGAGATTCACTGTACAGAAAAAAAAATTGTGAATATTGCCCATTGGGGAGAACCTGAGCTACAAGGAAGCCAGTCAACTAAACTTCATTTGGGGAGATAAGTAAGATAAATAGTGACTTTCTGATAATCTGAAAGGACTCCACTACAGGCCCATTTGAGCAGAAGAATGGACACATTCTAGCCAGACTCTGCTTTGGTGTTCTGAAATGTTTGGAGGTAAACAGAAAAAAGTTGCTTTGAGATTTGGTTTCATCACAGAAATATTGCTATGTGGATAGCTAAAGGGCAGACATTTTAGTTAGCTACATATTTATGTCACTGAATTTATTTTATATGGTGAGGATCTCTTGTCTGATGGAAAAAATTTTCCACTATCTCTTAGGCTCCTCTAGTTGAGGACTAGAGATTTGTGGAGAGCATGGAAACAATTTGCTTATTATCCACATATCCTTGAGATATTGAAACTTAAGCTTCCATTTAAATTAAATGTATTCTCAATTGTCAACAATTTGTTCTTAGACAGTTCCATATTCAAAGGGTTACTGTTTCTTGCATGGAAGAATCAAAGAAATAAAAGAGGGCACCATAAAAGGTCCAAACTTCACACTAGATACACTGACAAACAGACCATATAGGGTTTGGCAGGTGATGCGAACTGTGAAAGAATTCACAACTGAGAGAAGAGATAGATGCTAGAGAGGGAGCTTATTTTACTTTCCCCAAAGGGAAACGGTCTGTGCATTGCTAATAAATACAGGGGCAAGAATCAAAAGGCAGCTTCCTCCTTTAAAGGGTAACAGCTGCGATTGCAGGTGATAAAGAAGGGAGGAAGATTTGGGGCTGAGACAGTCCAGCAGATGTGCTAGGGAGGGGGCTTATCAGTATATTTGCCAAGCCTATAAAACATGCTTACAGCAAAAGTTATGAAGAGTTCAAAAGAGGCTTGTTTGAAGGGAAAAGAGGAAGGGAACTTTCTACTAACTACAGACTCCCTGGTGCTAATTATCCCTGAGTTGTAAAAACAGTGGGGAGGAGAGGTATGCAAGAATGTAGCCTTGAGAGTAACTTATCTTGTCTTGCAGTTTGAACAGAGGGGCTGTTTGAATCAGAGGAGCTAACAGTCTTGGGGTTTAATTACCAAGTGCTTCTCATAAATTGTGGAAGGCCACAGCAAGGAAAAAGAAGGGCCTTTTTCCTGTCCTTACATCAAAGGCCTTTCTCATAACATATAATGCTAGAATATCCATGAACAGAAACAGTTTTAAAAATTTTCTAAATTTATACCTAAATAAAAATAATTATTTAAATTCAATTGTTAGATTAAATCTACTTACAAGTCAAACTTCTCACATCACTCATCTAAGTGCAGCATGTTTTACCATCCAGTTTTGGATTGGTGCAAGTGCACTTAAAATATATATGAATGTTATGTTTTTGCATTTTTAAGAATGCAGAGATGGCATAGAATTTTATAAAGAATGTGATGTAGACGCGCCCTTTGCAACTTTATTTGATGTTTTATTGTTATTTGTTTTTGTTAGAAATGTGCTTTGAAAAATCTAATTTCATACATATTAAAATTAGATTTTGTTATATATAAATTGTGACCAGTTAAATTTATCTTTCCATAGAATTAAAAAGACAAATGCTTTTCCTTTGCTGCCTCAACACGCTCTAGATCTTCTTTCATGAGCAGCATACCATTATTTCCTTTGGCCTTCCCTGACTATTGTAGTTTGGGTGCACTCCTTTACCAGTCTCATGGTGAATAGATTCTTGCTTTTTTTCTCCCTCTTCCATACTTTTTCTTCCTCTCTGAATATATTTCACAGATGACTGTCTTCCAAAATAACATCAGTTAATTTTTTAACTTAAAAAAATCATACTTAGCCCTGAGTCTGCCCTCTCCATTGATGTGTAGTGTGTGGAAGAGGCTGTGCAGGGACTGATAAGCCCCATTTGTGAAGTCTCTTCAGTAGGGGGCCAGGCACTCACTGCAGATGGGCTGTTTATTCAGCCAGCACTGGCCCTCGCTGGGTTGAGAGTTGACCCACCTTCTCAGAGGGCTCTGAAACCAAGCCAGGAGACAGCTCTACTTCCGTGCCTGTGATTAGATGTTGTTCTTTGTTGGTTGTTTTTGAATAAACAGTTTTTCTTTAGAAGGCTCCCTCAGTTTACTATTATGGTTTTCACTCCTTTTCCCTTTTTGCAGAATCTGATGATCTCCGTGGGGACCCTGCACTCAGCCTTCAAAGTGCACCTGCCCCCCAGGATGCTCGTAATTCAGTAGTAGATGCTGGTGGCCTTGAAAGCATCACCCAGTGTCCCCAACGGCTTCCTCAGATGATGGCTGCAGGTAAATGTCAGTGGCCAGCCCAGGACATAGGCATTTTGAGTTCTTAGTGGAAAAGCTTGCCCAGGCATGAAACTATGCATGGAACCCAGAACCTGGGCTCCTTAAAGAAATCAGGCTGTGGAACAAGTGAACATCAAAGAACATTAAGTCAAATTTGACATATTTTGTGGTGTGTATGTGTTGTTGTTGTTTTAGCTCTGTGCTATTTGTAGTATCATTTATTTGTTTATTTTGCTTTAGTGAAAGCTTGCTTATAAGAAATATTTTGGAGAAGTCACATTTTCTTAATGCAATGCTGTAAAGAGTTTATAAAGGAGGAAATCTGTTACAAGGTAACAATAAGTTCAGTCAGGACCATTTTCATGACTTACAACTATTCTAGAGATTCTATTAGTTGAAAGGTGTGCCTGCTCCAGAATTTATGTGTTTTCCATCTACCAAGCCAATTGACTTGTGTTACCACGAGAATATTCCTGCTTTGTCTGGAAACCTTGGAACTGAACTGATGTTTCACTAGGAGAAGAAAGCGATTCTTCGTTTTTCCAGAAGTACTTTCTTAATGGCATTCTGTGTATAATATAAACTACATGTCATTGTTTCCTCCCAGAATGTATTCAGAAACTCTTTATACTTATGTCTGAAGGAAACATTGCTATAGATTATGTGCTTTTTGTGTGTGTGTGGTTTGGGAAAATGCTAAATGAAGCCTCACATCTCTAGAAACCTGGTTTCCTTTAAAACAAATAACCTTGCCTGTTGACTCTCAGTCATTGTTTATTTTTTTCCTGCAGCCGCGGATGGTTTGGGGAGTATAGCGATAGACACAACCCAGCTCAACATGTCCGTGACAGATCCCACAGCCTGGGCCACCGCCATGAATAATCTGGGCATGGTTCCCGTGGGGTTGCCTGGACAGCAGCTTGTGTCTGGTAAGCTCTCTCCTGGGTTTGAAGCAGCAGTGCCAAAGGGTGGAGGTGACAGGTGCCCAGTAATCTCTCCGCACGCAAGTGTTGAGCATGGCCAGTGATTTATGACTGGGGCATGTTTGGCAGGTTGTGCTTGAGATTCTTTTCCTCATCACCTTGCTCTTTTGCCTAATAGCCATTCTCAGAAAAAAGGCCGTATGCAGCATCTATCATCTGCAGCATTGCAACATCAACTCCATATTTTTTAAAATTGGTAAACAGAGGGCTAAGATTTGCTTTCCAATTTGCAAAACTCTGTCACATGCCTTATGACACTTGACTCCACAGTCTTCTCTTTGACACAGATGGATACTTATTGTTGTTGCTCTTGTTAATGTTCTCATTTTAAAAACAGGGAAGCAGAGAAACAATGTTTAGGTTACTTTTCCAGCATTGAAGTGGCAGAGCTAGAAATCCATTCAGTTCCACCTTTTCTTTCCACCGCACTTTGGAATCAAAATAGAATGCATTCAATAGGGAAAATGTTTAGAAATGTCACAAAGCAGGAAGTCACCATTTACTTTGATACATGTTTATTGAGATTTTCTATGTGCGCTCTCACAAGAGCTTTGAGAAATGAAAGATACACCTATACAAGTGTCCTTGAGGAGCATGTCTCCCTAAATTGAAAAACACAGCAGTAACAACAAAACCCAGCATAAATATAATGTGTAGAATCAGTTGTTAAGTAGTGGTTCATGCTAGGAATGTAGTAATTTCCAGAAAGATGTATTACTGAGGCTCTGAGGAAGATGTTATCAGGAAGATGGGAGTTGAGCTGTCTGGAAAGATACATAGGATTTGTATGAATTCACTCCTTCCTTCATTCCTTCATTCACTCAACACATATTTATTGAGACACTATCCTGGTGCAGGGACTCCAGCAGTAAACAAAACAGGCATGGTCCTTGCCCTTCCAGAATGTGCAATAGAGAGGTGACAGTCAATTATAATACTACGTTCCATGCCTACAGGCCTGTGTAGTTTGTGCTGAATTGACTAAGCATTTAGTTTCTTTCTTTTTTCTTTTTGGTCAATATTGGCCATAGATGTGAAAGTCTAAACTAGCTATAGTAAATTATACATAATTTTATGCATATGTGTACATATATGTACACACATATGTATACATTTACACACATATAAAAATATATAAAATTCTTAAATATAACAAGAATGAACACAAGAGAGGATGGGAGATGGGGAAAGTGAGAGACAGCAAAAGGAAAGTCAAAAATTGAGTTATAAAACATTATACTTAAGATATTTATAAAATTCTCCAAAATGTTATAAAAGTCATACAATTGAAGATTAGTCTGCTATGGGATGTGTGTATATGCACATGAATGACATTTCTGATGCTTTAAATGTGTGTTTATTCAGACTCCTTTTTCCCAAAGCTAATCTAGACAGATACTTGCTTCTAACAACTTGAGAATAAAGATTTGTATTTTTCTACCCACATTCTTCCTCATTTTCTATCCACATAATTGAAATATTCATGTAACAGAAATTACTTTACTTTTGTCTCCACCTCCCACTTCTCTCAGAAAATGTTGGGTGGCTTCCAGAGTGAGCCACACCTCAACAATTCATTATTTTTTCTTATTATTTTGAGTCTTCTGACATTTTAACCATGACCAATTCATGATTTTCTCAGCAACTTACCATGTAAAGGATTACAGCCCTACTCATTATAGAAGATTTACCATATCTGTCCTGAATTACGTTCTGTATCTCCTTATTAGCCAAACTGCCTTTCATGGTCTTCCTAAGAATCCCTTCTTTATCTTCCAACTGCGCTTTGTTCTCAGGGCTGGCTGCCAGCAGCGGGGTATGCAGTATCTCAGGGTCAGGCTCTGTTTTATTTTATTAGTGTTCATGTATTTTCTTACAGGCTTTTTTTTCCTGTACAAATATTTTAATCATATTAGATATAAGATTTTCTATATGCATTTTAATACCTTGTTCTAAATTATTTTCCATTTTACAGTTTTATATTTAAAAATTATAAAACTCCATTGAATAAATATTTCCTACTTTATTTAATTATTCTAATTTTACATGTAAGCTGATTCCATTTTTTCCCCTCTGACTAGTCAAATTTCTTTGGAGACCTTAATTTCTTCAAGCCTATAAAAGCATTTCATCTTTTCTGTACAATGATGATTGTATCTCTTTCATGGGACTATTGTGAGATTTAAATATGGTGAATTGCATAAAATACAGCTGTTTGTTTTTTTCCCGGCATAGTCAGAGAGCCACAGAGTGTTGCTTCTCTCTCAGTTTTCATACCACCACCTCTGGAATTCTTCAGTGTGGCTGTAGAATGTTAGAGGCCGTCTTTAATGTCTCAGAAGGGATTTTAAGATTATTTAGTGTAACCTTCCTTCCAAGAAATCTCCTCTAAAATATCTCTGACAGGATTATGGAGAGGCTGGATTTTATGAGCACTTGGCTTTCTCTCAAAGTTTCTGATATTTCTAAATGACCAACTACTCTTCCCCTATTAGTTAAAATTAAACTGACACTAAACCCATTCCTTACTACTTTTTCTGTTTACTAAAATTATTAGCAAAGCAAGGTGTATAGTTTCAAATTCTCTGATTTTAGCAAAGTGATTTTTCAGGACATCAGATCACTTATTACATGCCTTTCTGAGCTGTAATTGTAAGCTCCCACAATTCCACCTCTTCCATTTTCCTCCCACTTCATCATCCAGATGTTCCCCTCTACAATCCCATTTCCACTTTCAGGAACTTCCCTTTTACTTACTTCAATATGCAGCACTTGAGATCATTACGTTGAGTTTATTTATTTTATCCAAAATATATCATTATATTAAATCCCATACTCCAAAGTCTTGGTTTATCTATAAGATATTTACCTCCTATGTTATTGTTTTGTGTTTATTTTATTCCCCATACTTTTCGTTTTGTAGAATTATTTTTATTGTTGTTGATTTGTTCTCATGACTTTGTGCATTGGCATTATCAATTTATGGTTGTTGGCATCAATTCAACATCAATAGGCTTCCCCAATTTGAGGTTCAGTGGAGAAGGAAACTTTACTCAGTGCAAACTGCTTAATTGTGATTCAGCACAGCTGTGAAAACAGCTTGGCTGTTAGGAGGCCCTGGGACCAGGCCCCTCTCCAGCTAGATAGCTCTGCTCTGCTCTGCTCCCTCTGTTCTGTACAGGTCTGCTCTGCCCTATGCTGGTTTGCTCTGCTCTGCTGTGTGAGACATCTCTGGTGTTTCATCTTTGGTGTTTCAGCTCCAGCCAGGGAAACACAGTTTTTAGTCTCCGGTGGAAAGGGAAAGCACACTCCCAGAGCCAGAGGGGAGCTGACTTATATAGATAAAGGTTCTGCCCCTGGTTGCTGATTGGTTTGTCCTCGTGCAAACTAGGACTCCAAATCCTTGAAGTTTGATTGATGCAAAAGGCATTCTCCTGATTGGTCAGAATAGAACTGCTCTGAGTGGTCAGTGTAGCTCTGATTGGATGGAGACCACCTCAATCCTATTGATTGAAATAGGATTCTGTAACTCCTTTATAAAGGCTGGGTCAGCTGGCAGAAACAGTGCAGGCAGGCAGTTCAGTGCAGGCTTCTCACTGAAGTGCGGTTTTCATGAGAGGCCCCTGTGTAGAAATGGCTGCTGGATTCTGTTTTTTAAATTTTAGCCAATTAGCCACCAGGAGCTCTTCTTAGCAGGTATCTTCTTTCTCGGGGTCCAGAGTGTAGATCCAGGTTTTCTAAACTGCTCTGTGGGAACATCTGTGTCCCACAGTTGTTGTTAGGTAGGGCAGGTGTCATATAAGCATTTACATCAGGGGTCCTCAAACTTTTTAAACAGGGGGCCAGTTCACTGTCCCTCAGACCATTGGAGGGCCGGACTATAGTTAAAAAAAACAACTATGAACAAATTCCTATGCACACTGCACATATCTTATTTTGAAGTAAAAAAACAAAACAGGAACAAATACAATATTTGTATTTGCATGTGGCCCGCGGGCCGTAGTTTGAGGACCCCTGATTTACATGGTCTAACAACTGTGGTAAACTTTGTGTTTAACTCAAGCAATTTGCTTTCTTTGTGTGTTTCCTGAGAGCCTTTACTATGCTAATGTGTAAAGTGTAGTTTCCAAAGTCATATCTAGTATGTAGGATTCCCCAAACTTAAGTCAGCCTTTAAAAAAAATCTGTTAGCATCTCAGGAGACACTAGAATATAGCCATCTACCAAATTTTCCCACCAGCAGTGGAGATGCTTTTCCAGTACCATCTATCTTTCTCTGCCATAAGTGATATCTTCCCTGTGATCTAGTTTACAATTTTGTTTGTTTATGTTTTCACTGAACAGTGTCACTCCATGATCTCACATTTCAAAATAACCCTCTTGTGGTCAGGGGTTGCCTGAAGCCCTCCCAGTTTTCTAGGACCTGCACTCTCACTTTCCAGGAGCCCCCACCTCTGGGGTCATAAGCTGACATCCAGAATATTGCATCCTGAGTTTTGAAACCATCTGTGGAACCAGCTGCTCCCTTCCTATATACCCTGGCTTCTTTTCCAAAGCTATAATCATCAACTGGAAGAGTTGAAAAGCAGCTGAGTCTCCAGGTTTTAACTTCTTGTCCAGGCATGCATGGGAACTGTAATGCTTTCTGGATAATACCCTGGCCATGAGACTTTTTGAAAATTTTTTTTCCCTAATGTCAGCAATTCCCCCTTAGTTGTTATTGGCTTTAAGTTGACATATCTTTTACCCCAAGTTTCTAGGCATGCCATTTGTTATATTTCAAATACATGTTCTGAACAAGCATCACACCTCCCTATTAGCTATGAAAGGCTATAAACAAAACAGTGCCACATGCCTTATCAGGGACTAGCATGGAACCAAGAAAAGAATATCTTGTAGATGTGAACACTCTGAATTGTCCTTTGGCTCATACCTTGCTGTTTCTT